TTGACTAGAGCTGGACAATTTAATCGATTAATCAGTGTAATCTAAATCTGTTATCTAAGGTCAACAATGACATTGATTGTTGTCTTGTAAACTTGACTAGAGCTGGACAATTTAATCGATTAATCAGTGTAATCTAAATCTGTTATCTAAGGTCAACAATGACATTGATTGTTGTCTTGTAAACTTGACTAGAGCTGGACAATTTAATCGATTAATCAGTGTAATCTAAATCTGTTATCTAAGGTCAACAATGACATTGATTGTTGTCTTGTAAACTTGACTAGAGCTGGACAATTTAATTGATTAATCAGTGTAATCTAAATCTGTTATCTAAGGTCAACAATGACATTGATTGTTGTCTTGTAAACTTGACTAGAGCTGGACAATGTAATCGATTAATCAGTGTAATCTAAATCTATTTCATTGTTGACCTTAGATAAGTTTACAAGACAACAATCAATGTTACTTCTACTGTAGATATTACTAAACCATAATGCAAATTTTCTTCCAATTTTTTGCTCTACTGAGATATAACTCAGAGCTCTGGGTGTTTGCTTGCTTCACAAACCAGGTGTTACTGTTTGCTGGAAACAGCTTAATGGCTCCTGCCTTGATTTATTGCTTTATTTTGTCCAGGGAGATTACTGCTCCATAGGGCAAAATAAAAACATGTTTAGTAAAATAATATAAGTTTATACTGTGACTATCAGTAATTTGTAATTTCACAAGTAATACTGACAAGGAAAGAACTGTGTTACTCAATTGATTTCATGTTTTCCAACAATTCTTTTCATTATACTTAGATGATATCACTAAAGACTCAGGAATCAAATATGCTGTTTGTTTATAGACATTTACCGGTTATTTAAATAAATATGAAAACTTTAAAATGGAAATTAGTATTTTTATTTCTATCATAAAAGTCTACTTTCACTCAGACTGACTCGATAAATTCTCAGACAAATCTTTAGTTGAAATACTTTATTAAAAATTCCGATTTTTTGTGTACAACATACTTTTCATATTTACTAAACAACTGCCAAGTTTTACAAAAATACATAAAGTAAATTCGAAAAAACGATAATCATTAATTCTCCAGTAGATGCTCAGCCTCCAATGCATCCAAAAAAAACAGCAATAATTGGAATTGCTAATTTGGATTAATTGGTTATTTTTGTAACATTAATTGATTTTGAGCAAAACTCAGAAGTAAAACTTAAAGTGACCACTTTGGCATGCAGATGTGTCGCATGATACAGAGAGCTACACAGATTGAGATATTGAATTATTTCTTTTGAAATTAAGAAACTGAAACTTATGTTGCAGTTGGTATTATCAACTTTTTTTTATTAACATGCATTCATAATAAAGTTGTAAAAAAATTCTCACTTGCTGTTGAGTAGATGAATAATGTGTTCAGTATACAAATTTATAATTGTATAGCTAAACTGGCTTACAAGTATAACTGTAATTTCCGAAACATAAATACCTCTGCTGACACTTGTAGCTATTTCTTGATCTTCATCTTTGCCATCTAAACATCGTGTTCGCTTGCTACAGTCTTTTATACCCCACTCGACTGCCCTCAGCAATATCTAATTTGCTAAACTTTCCTCCAGCCCTCTATGCAGGTACTGTATATAAGCACTGTATGTTGACAATATAATCACTTTTTCTCGACAAAGTGCTACTGCTTGGAATTATGTTTTGTGGTTAACATTTTATTTGAAGCATTATGACAGTAGTCTGGTTTGTTTGTATTTTTTCCCCCGTTGCCGATATTTTGTTAAGAAAAATTTGCTTATGTATTCCCGTGTAACAGTTTCTGGCACGGGTTAACCAGACCTCGTCCATTCTTCCTTTGTTTGTCTGTTGGTAGTCAGGGTGGGATGGGAGGTCCACTCTTGGTAGAGGCTCTCCATGACCTGATTCGGGATGATTTGGAGTCCTTCATGCAGCCCAGGGGTTCAAAATTGGTTTTTCATCCTGAACCTGAATATACTGGGGAAAATTTCGACACTGTTTTCTGCTCCTTCTTTCCCTAGAGCTGCCTCTACTGCAGGATCATCTCATCGGTCACCTTCTGCCTTTTTTCTGCAGTTAGTTACGTGAGTTTGTGAAGCTTTGGGGATTCACCCCATTGCTTTTGAGTCTACCCTACCTAGTTGTCAGATAGATCTCGGGAGGGGGGGGGGTTACTTAGTTCTTTCTCCTTCTCCTGATATTGCTGTGTATGCTGGGATGCTTGCAATGCCATTACGAGAGAATATTGCTATGCCTCACTCTCCTCTCCACTTATCAGAACATTCCCTGCCTTATCATCATCTGGCTGTAGTATATTTGGACACTCAACAATTGGATTTGTTGTTGGATCTATTGGGGTCCAGGTTAGAACATGTTATCTCTCTTACAAGATCTCCATTTTTGTGGATTCATTTCACTGTTACTACTGTACTGTGATACTCCTCTTTGTCCGGGAGTTGCCCCTTTTTTGGCCTTACTAGTTTGCTGGAGTCCCTGAAACTTTCGAAGCTCGATTTTATATGACACATTTGCAGTTTTTCTTTATCGTCATTGGCTGCTCGCCTCTCTTCTACACCAACGAGTAATTCTGAAGAATCAATCATTTGCGTCTCGCAGCCCCCACCTATGACACCTCGTCGTATTGGTTTACAGAATCGGTTCCATCCATATTCTCGGGGATCTTTGGAAGGTTGGTGTCAACCCATTCAGAAGGTTGATCCCATTCTTTTAGGATTCTATTCTTTTTTCTGGTGACAATAAAGATTGGCTTCTTATCATCAATCTCTCTCGACTCAACCTCTTCCTACAGCCTCCTCGTTTCACCATGGAATATTTTCTTCAACTTCAATGGCACTTCACACCTGATCTTTGGATGACCAAATATGATGTCAGAGATGCCTCCCTTCACATCCCCATAGCAGTCTTTTCGCCAATTTTTACATTTTTTGCATGAGGACCAGATGTAGCAGTTCCAAGCTCTCCGTTTGGACTTGCTTCCGCACCATATGTTTTCTG